CAACGTTGGTCCCAGATGCTCCGTGCTGCACCGGCCATGGGTGAACCGCAAAAGAGAGCGGCGGAGGTTCCCGGAGGAAACATTTTCACGGCAAACTCAGAGACGAAAGGGTTTATCCCCAGCCCCGGATGAGCTTCTATACGAATTTGCATCTTGCCTCTGTACTGCTTGCTATTTTTTAATGATAGGAGATAGCATAACAGTTTATTTTGACTATGAAATATATTGCTATATGATGAAATAGATTGTAACTTTCAATTCATATTTTTGGGGGTATCAGACTAGTCTTTCGCGGGTCCCGTGTCGACCTGCTCTCCCCACGACTGTGTCTGAGTACACATTCCCCTGAGGACGTGACTGACACCCAGCCCCCGGGTCCTCCCACCACAACCTGCAGAACGCCTGTCCGCTCGTTCTCTAAGCCCGGAGTGGGAGAGACACAAGAGCGCTGCTCCAAGCTTAGAAGAGTAATTCTACCCTAAAGTCTTTCAAGCCATTTCAGAAGGGATCTTTAAAAGCCATCACTCCGTTCAGAGCTGTGCAGAGCCCGTGCAGGAGAAGTGCAGGCTCCTCCTGTGTACGTGGAAAGGTTCTGTTGTGCCAGTTGTAGAACGCAAGCTCGCTTTCCCTTCCATGATGTCGGAAGTGGGCCTGAGGGGTCTCCCGCAAGCCTGTGACTCAGAAGACTCCCAGCCCTAGGCACTGTGGGCCTCTAGGTCAGAGCAAACCGGGGTTGGAATTCCATGGTCTGCGGGCCAAACAAGAGCTCAACGTGCTCACGTACTTTTCTGGGTTTGATAACACCCGGGAGGGAACAAGGTCTCCCCAAGTGCTTCTCAGTGGCAGGGGCCACAGCTCCTAAGGGACTGATGGGACAGGCAGGGCAGGGGGCAGCCAAACGTGTGCCCCTAGTTGACTCTGGCTGAGAGGAAGTAGCGGGTTCCTACGGCGATGTTTTCCTTTGTGGGAGAATTAGGAGTTCTCTGAGCAAGAGGCCCAACTCTGTTCCCCTCCTCTGGCATCTCCGCTGAGACAGTGTCCGGGGCTGCTCGGCTCCCTCTGAATGACCAAGGGACTACGTGGACATGCAAATGGGCTGCGTTTGAGGACCATAGAAAGACCTCCTAGAACCAGGACACCTCCTCCCAGGGAGGACCCCCGTTTTGCACTCGGCACTCGGGTGTCCTATCAGAGAGGCACGAACCAAGTCGGAGCCCGGCAGCAGCAGCTGAGCCAATCTGCTCTCCTCCTGTCACAAACTCCAAAAACTCACAAGGGTAGGACAAAGCTACGGGGTTTCTCCCAAGGGGAGGCTGGCCTCTTCTCAAAGATCAAGTGGAGTTTCAATTCCGCCCCACGGGGCCTCCTCCACGGCCCTGGCTTTTCGGGCAGCTGCGGGCCGCTTCTGTCAGGTTTCTATGGAAGGCAAGTTTTCTTTTCCTTGAGCAACGCCCTCCTGGGGACTCTGTTGCCCCCCAGTGGCGTATGCTGCTGGGCTCTGTTAAAGGCGCGAGCACCCCAGGGCGCCTGTTTCTAGCAGGTTACTCACTCACTGGGTGGCAGAAATTCGTTTCTTCCCCATCTTATAATTGACTGGTGAATGTACTTGTGACCATTGGGTTTGCCTCTTAATCCTTTTCTGCTGCTAAACAGATTTGCCTCTTTGGGCTCTTCCTGGTAGCACTTCTCAGACTGACGAAAGACGCTGATGTTGAGATGTTCCGGTAGTTGCTATTCCTTCCACCCGGTGTCAAGGAGACCAATCCACGGTCCTGATTTGGGGAAGGCAGATTTCTCAGCTGCTCAAAGTCAGCAGCACCTGGGAGCTTGTTAGAGATGCAGACTCCCAACCCCCATCAGACCTACTGAATCAGAAACTGACATTTTAACAAGAGCCCTGGGCGACGTATGTGGGCCATAGACACCCAGAGAGACCGGCCTGGCCATG